GGACACTTGTGATGACACAGGAACCTTCTGGATAATCCAAGATAATCCCTCTATTTTAAAGCTACTTCCATCTGCAAACTGAATTCCCCTTTGCCAACTAACCTAACATATTCACAGGTTTCAGGGTGAACAGTCAATTGGATGGGTGGGCACTATTCTGCCTATGGTAAATGGTGTGTATTTTTTTCCTCTGACATTTTCTAGTTGGTTAATTGCTGATTTCCAGGAATGCTACTATTTCATGTATATTAATCTTGAATCTAGTGAACATGCCAAACTCATGTCTAAATTGTTCTAATGATATATCTGATGCCTCTCTTGGATTTTCTACTTAGTTTTATTATTTGTAAATTTTTTTCTTTTCCTTTTAAGTGCTTGCAGTCTTATTTTTCTTGCCTTTTAAAGTTGGCTAGGACATTCAGTACAATGCTAAATAATGGGGATAATCACAGGAATTCTTACCCTGCTGCTGACTTGAATAGGAATGTTTATAAATTTTTCTAAAGAACAATAACATTTTTAGGAGGTTTTTCATAGATACATCTTTTCAAAATAGTAGAAAATATTCTCTATTCCTAGTTTACTAAGAGTTTATATCACAATCGAATATTGAACTACACCAAATATTTTTTCTCTATTGAGAAAACCCTATGAAATTTTCTTCCAAATTTTATAGATGTCTGAACATTGAACCATCCTTGCATTTTTGGATGATGATCTCTTGGCTATCGTGTAGTTTATTAGACACTGCTGAAAATTTTTGTCAATATTACATCAAGTGTTTTGCTTTTATATTCATACACGAGAATATACTATACTTATTCTTATCCTTATATCCATTTTTAACATCAAAGTTACACTAGCTGCATAAAGTGGTTTGGTTAGATTTCCTATTTTGAGCCTCTGACCCAGTCTGCCTAAAAGAGGCATCTTCTGCTTTCATGGGTTTTTAAAATGATGCCTATAAATATCAGGGCTTGCTGTTATTTGGAGATTGGTGTGGAAGAGGGGCAAGACATTTTACCATTAATTTTATTTCTTTCATGGCTACTGATTTATTCATGATTTCTATTTTTTCTAGGCTAGGTTAATAATCTATGTTTTGTTAGAAAATTATCTATTTCATCTAAAATTTCAAGTTATTGCTTCTGTATTGTCTTACTATTCTCCTATGAACTTTAAATCCCTTTTATATCTGTAGTGTTAATGTCTTTTCCTTCCCAGTGCTGTTGATTTGTGCTATCTCCCTTTTCTTCTTACTCCCATCTGCAAACGGCAATTTCTCCTGTAGCTGCCTGCAGATAGTTTTGTGTCATGGACAAATCCTCCTGTGGGAAAGGAGATGATGAGACATTTGAGAGAGGAGTAAAAGGTCAAAGCACCTGAAGGAGGCTGCTTCTCTCAATAGAGAGAGAGATGATGTGAAGAAACTTAGAAAAGAGGAGAGTGTTTAGTAATTTGAATAAATATCTGCAGAATAGTCTATTGGAATGGCCCTCTATAAATTAGCCTCTATGAATATGGAAAGAATACTATAATACCTTTGTTACCCATCTAACTCCATAATTTATCTTGCATTTTCAGACTATCATAAATACTTAATAAAGTGTTACTACATGGGAATTTTAGACAATATAAATCTATTTTGTAATAGCTCTAAGACTCACTTGTGACTGACACTTTGCAGAAGCAAAGCAATAGATAAAATTATACATGATAGTCAATGTATTGCTGCAAAAGGCAATCCAAACATTTCATTCTTAAACGCATTAAGAAATAAATAGATTACCTATAACAGAACAGCTGGGGATATGATTAGTTACTGAATATGGAAAAGGTGAGCAATGTGGCAAGGACTTAACACTAGAAAAGGCATACACTATGTGTGCAGTATTATGCCAAAAGAAAGGAATTTGCACTATCACAGAATAAGAGTTGCAGGAATTATGTAAGAATGGACCATTCCACAAAGACTTTCAAAACCCTGATGAGGAACTAATTTCCCCAGACAGAAATAGGAATGAAGATCTTTTATAGGAAAACAGATTGCAGGTAAAGGCAACATACACACATTAGGACCCCTAACCTAATGACGACTCTCAAGTAGAACAAGTGAAATGAGGACATTAGTTGAAACCTCTCACACAAACACCAAAATTATAAACAAACCAGAACCAGGCAATCTGAAGAGTAGAGAACCCATCATAATGGAGGGGAAAATCACGGAAAAAAAAAAAAAAAAAAACAAACAAAGCAGTAGGTAAGGAAACATTTCACAATATCAGATATATTGGGCATTTATTATTTTAATACCCAAATATCACCTGTTCTTTCAAGAAATTCTCCTCTGGTCACGTGACTCTGGTTGTTATTTGGCTATAACTGAGTCCCACCTGGCCAGCTAGAATGTACCATTCTATTGAGCTGAGCTAATCAGAGCCTGTTGAAAATGACAAAGCTTGTGCTAGGAGAATTCTTCTCTTTGTCAGGCTTTAGCAATGTGAACAAGGTCTTCCCACAGAAGGTTCCCTTGCTGGGGGAGAATGCAGTTTCAGAGTGAAGAGCCATCATGCTGACAGGAAAAAGACAAATGTAAAGAATCCTGACCGCAGTCAACCCCTGGATCTAGTCAGCCTTAATGTTAACTCTGCACCAACCCTTCCCACAATTTGGTTATATGAGATGATAAATTCCTCTCTGTGTTAAAACTCTTTCAAATTGGTTTTCTGTCTTCAAACAAAGACTCATGACTAAGAGACCAACTACACACATGCAGTCAAGTAATTAAAAAAAAAACACACACACAGGAAACCTTTACAAAGAAAAAGGAAGTAATTCTAAACTGAGAGTATTTAGGCAGCTGGACAGGAGAACTGAAAAATCGAACAAAAGAAAATGTTTCTCCTTAAACGTGGTGTGCCATAATTATTTAGCACTGCTTTTGTAAGTGGGTTAAAAATGATAGTTAGCTGACCAGTAAGGGCATATTAGTGTTCCCAGGGGCCAAAATGAAACACTGGAGGAAGAATCCCCATGTGGCTGACATGGTGGCAACAGGGAAAAGATTTATGCTTCTTCTAGAGGCCTATCATTCCCATGCTTATTTCCTCTTCACTTGAAGCATCCATTGGAGGTTTGGTAGCCACTTCTGAACTAACAGTAAATAAATTTCTTTCCCAACCCTCTTTTGGAGTTAGATGGCAAATTCCCTTTGGAATCACCTCTTGACTGAGATATTCCTATGAATAAGTGAAGGTCAATAGCCACTACTGCTATCCTTCTGTGTGTAGAGCAGGAGGTGACATGACAGGAATGAGAGAAGTGCCGAAGATCCACAGAGCACAAACAAATCCAAATTAATCAAAGGGGCAGGAAATGTAACCCGTGGCCAATCCCTGGATGAGACAGTCCACTAACCTAACCTGGAAAACACACTCAAATCCTTTTTCAGTAATCTGTCCTCTAGAGTATGAACAATTGACAGAGTACTGATTCCCCCCACCCTTTTTGATTGACTTATAATTAACATACAGTGTTATATTAATTTCAGGTGTACAATATATAATGATTGAACATTTCTATACATTACTCTGTGCTCATCAGAGTAAGTGTACTCTTAATCCCCTTTATCTATTTCACCCCAACCCCCTGCCCACCTCCCCTCTGACAACCACCAGTTTGTTCTCTGTATTTAAGAATCTGATTTTTTGTTTGTCTCTTTTTCTCTTTGTTTGTTCATTTTCTTTTGTTTCTTAAATTCCACATATGAGTAAAATTATATGGTATTTTTCTTTCTCGGACTAACTTATTTCATTTAGCATTATATCCTCTAGGTCCATCCATGTTGTCCCAAATGGCAAGATCTTAATTCTTTTTTTATGAATGAGTAATATTCCATTATATGTATATATATATATATACATATACATATGTATATATATATACACACACATATATATGTATATATATATACACACATATTATATGTTATATACTTACACACACACACCACATCTTCTTTATGCATTCATCTATGGATGGACACTTTAGTTGCATCCATTTGTTGGTTATTATAAACAATGTTGCAATAAACAGGGGTACGTATATCTTTTCAAATTAGTGTTTTTGTTTTTTGGGTAGATACCCAGTAGTGAAATTACTGGATGACAGAGTACTATTTTAATTAGCCTCTAATTCACTTGAACCTCTTTGTGACAATGGGAAATAATTTACCTCTCTCAGCCCCTCTTTTTTCTGGATCAAAAAATCATCATTATCATACAATATCTCATATTCTTAGCTTTGTATTAGTTACATGTGAAATAAATAGTCTTTTACTTTTTAAAAAAAATTATGACAAGTTATAGAGAAATCTGATTGGGACTCAGGCACCTTGAACTTCAATTCATTAGTCATGACCTATAGCACTAAATTATCCTAGGAATCTCCTACATTTCCAAACAATTCCAAAAGACCTGGTAAATTAAATAATTCCTTAGCATCCAGGTGGCAAACCTTTAGTAAAATATAGTAACCTCAACCACTCTAGAGTTGAGTATTCTCTGACAGCATTTTCAACATCCACAGTACACAAATTATAATGGCCCTTAGTGACTGAAATTAAACATTTAATGAGCAACTACAATCAACCAGGTACTAAGCTATGGTGTCTCCAGCAATAAAAATAGCAACCTAAATAATAATAACTAGGAGAATGGCTAATATGTACTTGTACTTACTATATGCCAGGCATTTTGCTAAGCATTATCTCTCTTTTATTTTTATTTTTTTTTTAAAGATTTTATTTATTTATTTGAGAGAGAGAGTGAGAGAGAGAAAGAGCACAAGAGGGGGGAGCGGGAGAGGGAGAAGCAGACTCCCTGCTGAGCAGGGAGCCCGATGCGGGACTCGATCCCGGGACTCCAGGATCATGACCTGAGCCGAAGGCAGTCGCTTAACCGACTGAGCCACCCAGGCACCCCTATTATCTCTCTTTTAAAAAAAATATGGAATACTTCATGAATTTGTGTGTCATCCTTGTGCAGGGGCTATCTTAACCTTCTCTGTATCATTCCAATTTTAGTATATGTGCTGCTGAGGCCAGCACTAAGCATTAGCTCATTTAATCCTTATAGCACTATGAGGTAGGACCTATAATTATCTATATGTTATAATTGAGGCCCAGTGAGGTTAAGTAATTTGCCCAAGGTCACATGGTTAATGGGTGAAGAAATGAGACCAGAACCCAGACTTCCAATTCTGGGTGAAATTGCATTCCCCACAAAAAAAAGATACTTTGAAGTCCTAACCCCCACTGCCTCAGAATATGACCTTCTTTGCAAGTACAGTTATTGCAGATATAATTAGGTAAAATGAGGTCACCCTGGAGTAGGGCAGCCCCTAACCCAGTATGACTGGTGTCCTCATGAGCAGATGGCCATAAATTCAGAGACTCGCAGCAAGAATGCAGGCGACAATGAAGACAGAGATTGGAGTGTTGTAGCCACAAACCAAGCAAGGCCAAAGACCGCCAGCAAACTGCCAGAAGCAGGAAGATGCAAAGGAGGATTTCCCTACAGGTTTCAGAGGGAGCATGACCCTTGACTTCTAGCCTCCAGAAGTATGAGAAAATACAGTCTGTGTTTTGAAACTACCTAGTTTGTGGTACTTTGTTACAGCAGCTTTAAAAAACTAATACAATGTCTAACTCCAATGCCTTCAGCATGCCATGTTTTATTACATCAGCTTGAAGTCTTTCCTGGATGATAAAAGAAACATTCAATTACATGCAAAATAGATATAATTTTTCAATTTTATTAAATTCTAATTACACAAAGATCCACACAAGACAGATACTTTTTTTAATCAGAGGTCTTATTCTCTGCCTTAGCTGTGGTAAACATAATTTTTGTAGTTATTTTTAAATATTTTATAAAATAGCCTTTTAAATTATGGGAATGGCCAACATTTATCCTGAAGCAATTTTCATCTTTAAAAAAGGATTCATTGTGTTTTGTGGGTGGCTGTTCGACTGTTTTATTTAAATTACCACACTCTAAGAATTCATCCGGAAGAAACAGACTAATAGTAGAAAGGACAAACAAGACAAGCTTACACAATACATGATCCTAGGCAGCCAGCAATTTACTAGACCACAACATGGATTTTGTTGCAAAGGAAAGAACTGGTAGAGAGAATACAGACTCAGAGGAGAGAAGAAAGATACAGTGAGGATATCCTGTCTTGGAAGAGATAGAGAAAGAAATGGATACATGAGGAAAAGCAGGTTCAGGTGAGCAGAGGGAAGAAAAGGAGCCTGAGAAGCATGCAGAGAACCTTGAAGGAGATGGGGAGAAGAGGTTGGGGGGAAAGAAAGAGAGAGAGAGGAGAAAAGAAATGAGGTGGGAGGGATAGTAAAGGAGAAAAAACATTCTGAATTGTGTGAAGGTGTGAAATGTTTTGTGTTTTTGGTTATTGACATGCGTGGCAGACATTTTCTTCAGGGTCTTAGGGCCAGCTCCCACAGAATGAAATGAGACATTCCATGGCACTTTCTCATAATGATAAGTATCCAGTCAAAAATCCAAAGGAGGAAAATACTCTTATAAAGTGTCATTTTTTTTTTTAATCTTGGCAAAGTCTGTTCTCTGAAACAAAAGAGCAGTGTATATCCCCATCACGTTGAAGAGTCCCTTTTAAGAGCCGCCTCATCACATGCAATACTTGATCACCATCAAAGGCCAAGTTTTCTAGTGCCAAGAGCCAAGTGTGCTGTGGTTTGATCTTTGAGAAATATTTCTGGATAGTAAAGATCAAGGGCCATAAATATGGAGGCACATCTTGTCACCATTCTGTTTGTGCTGTTAGAACATGGTATTTATTAGGAGCAGAGCTTTCCCAGTAAAAGGCATAATTACTACAGTCCATAATACAAAAGTAGCATTTTTTAATGTATCCTCTTTAATTTATAAATATATATAATTTTAAATGTATTTATTATGTATCATAAATATAAATATACATATAATTAAAAATTACATGAAAAGCGTCAGGGTTCAAAGTAAAATTATCCTTTAGTAAATTCAAACCAGGAAAAGCATCCTGAAAAAGCAAAGGAAACTCGGGAGCATTAAAATTACAAATCTCGAAGCAGGTTTTTATTATGCTTTAAGAAAAACATGCTGCCAAGTTAGAGCAGATGAGCATTTCCAAATACCTGGATAAAGAGAGAGCGTCTCAAAGAGAAAGTGTTCTTCAGGTACTGGTTCAACTTTCAGCACTAGAAAATGTTTCTATATTTAATATATTGATAAATGTCTCCTCTTTCTGCAACACATTGTGTATGTTTTTAAATGTGTGCACATGTCTTTTTATAATCTAAACATCCCTTTTTTCTTTTGCTTCATTTTTTTAATTCAATTAAGCAATATCCAATTAAAACATACAGATGAAAGCTAATACTAGGAAGTAGAATCTGATAAATGATAAGATCAATCATATAGCTAGAATTCTCTAAAACTTCAGACAATGTGGTGATCACTCATTGCAGGGACAGACTGGAGGAAGGTTTCATGGAAGACAGGGAATGGACCCAGGGCTGACCAGACTCACACAAGGAGAGGGGAGGGAATTCCAGGCAGGGAAAGGCCCAGAGAAAGGAGGACTGACTATTGGAACATGGGAAGAGGACAGTGGAAAGACTAGTCTGTGGGGAAGAACACACAGAGAAATGAGGTTGACTAGGTTAATTATGACCGGAAAGTCCCAGTGAGAAGTGGCCAGTGTAGACTCCGTGGGGAGAAGAAAGATAGGAAGAAAGCAGCGGTTTACAGAACAGGCGCCAATATGAAAGATTAATTTAACTGCAGCAAAAGCTAAAGGCAGATAAATTACTTTGTTGTACAAAACAGCAATAACCCAGACATCGGATGGCCAGGGCCTGGGGAAGGGTGACTGCAGCGAGAATGGAAGGAAGGAGTATTACGAGAAAGATGAATGCTCAGAGGTTGGAGACAGGATGTTGGAGTTTTATCTGTAGGATCTGCATTGTGCTTCTCTTTTGGCTGGTGGGGACAAAACATTTCTAAGCCTTTTAGCCTTAGGTCAAATGCTTATGAGTCAGGAAGAGAAACACTCTCCCCACCCTCCCACCCCCCCACCCCTGCCCCAACCAGCTTTATTGAGGTAAAATTGGCAAATACAATTGTAATATATAAAAAGTGTACATCATAGAGAAATAATCTTTGAAAGCTCTAATTTCAGAATAGATCACTCCTGCAACCTTCAAAATAAACCACTCAATTCTGCAAATATCTCTCTTAAGATGTTATCTCTTTTTTTAAAGTTAGCATTTTTAATGCATTATTTTCTTTAATAGTAACCTTGCTCTTGTTGCCGCCCCAAATTATTTTCTTTGAATATATTTGAATCAGGATTTCAGGAAATATATTTTATGTTTTCCCCATTGCTTTGCATAAGAGGAACCACATGAGCAATGCAAAGGTGTGTATTAATTGAGATATGCTTTCTGTACAGTGCAAAACTCAATCCTAAGGCCATACATCTGGAAACTTCAAAAATCTGAATCAATTCGGGGCGCCTGGGTGGCTCAGTCGTTAAGTGTCTGCCTTCGGCTCAGGTCATGATCCCAGGGTCCTAGGATAGAGCCCCACATTGAGCCCCACATCAGGCTCCCTGCTCATAAGCAAAAATGCCAAGCTTCTCCTCAAAGCTTAACCAGAGTCTAGACACTTTTCTAACGAGAGGGCTACCTGCACTTTGAGGCAGGTGGAAAATAGAAATATAAAAAGTGGCAAGATTGGGGACCTCCAATTCATTCTTTGATTCATTTATTGAACAACTATTTATTGAATATCCATTTCTATGCAATGTGACAACTGCAAAGATGAATAAGAACCTGTCCCTAGGTGAATAACAGTGAAGTCTGGGATTTAATAGTACATTACAGTTTATCAAGTCCTTTCTCTTAATGTGTGAAGATCTTCTCTTCGGAATAAGTTAGGAACAACTTCCATTTTTTTAGACCAGAAAGTAGAACCATAAAAGTCTTCTGCAACCCACATCTCTTAATGCTCATACCCACCACTGTTTCTTGGGTTATTCTCCTTCTTCCAATGAGAATGCTCTCATTTATTATTCAGATATTGATGATATTCATAAATATAACTAAATACCTACCACGTGCCAGCCACCAGAGGCTTTGGGATAGAGAAGGTGAAATAAACAGAATCAGTGTCCTCAAGGAGTTCATATCCCAGTGAGTTAAAAGGCAAGTAAGCAGTTATAGGGAAGTGATCAATGGCCCAAAAGAAAGCTCAGTGTGTCAATGTGCAAATCTCTAGGAGCTCCCTCCCCCAGAGTCATGCAAATGCAACCATCCAAGTCCAAGACCCATCTTCACTGTACAGATTGCACTTTACAAAACCTCAGTTCACATTTGTTTGGTTTTCCCCTAAATTTCCAAACAATTAGAATCTACAATTTAGTACCTTATTACATATGTCCTTTTATATCTCCAATTTTTATTTATTTTTTTAAAGATTTATTTATTTATTTTAGAGGGAGAGAGTGCAAATGGGTATAGGGGCAAAGGGAGACAGAGAGAGAGAATTTTAAGCAGACTCCCCACTAAGTGCGGAGCCTGATGTGGGGCTCGATCTCAGGACCCTGAGATCATGACCTGAGTCGAAATCAAGAGTCAGATGCTTAACTGACTAAGCCACTCAGGTGCCTCTGTATCTCCAATTTAAAAAAAATTTTTTTTTAATTTTTAAAAAA